AAAATCCATACCTTTGTCTGAGGAGTCAGATATATGTGTGTGGTTGGTGGCAGCGTGTTAAGAGAAAGAAAGTGTGAAGCGGCGTCCCCTCTGTGACGTATGAGGAGGCGGCCACAAGGACAGAGGCTGCTTCCTGGAGATGGCCTCCGTGCAGCCCTCAGCTTCAGAATACAAGCACAGGGATGGCTGGCACTGAGTGCAGGTCTACAGGGCTGAGGCACCAAGCTTTAAGCTTACATGCTTAGAGCAAAGGACTGGGGAGGAGAGAGGAGCAGAAACAGGCCACACACATGGAGACCAAAAATAAAGCATGCAAAGCATGCATCCAAGAAAATAGTGTCCTGCTTTCTTTTCTTTTGTGTTACCAAAATAGTCAACCTCTTATTTGGTGTTTTCTTTAAGAAGTAGAACACATCATTTGATATGTACATTGTCAGTCACAAGTTAGTTGAGCATTTAACATAGCTCTCACATTCAATAAAACAAAATTATTTGTTTTTTTTTAAGCAAGGTTTGTTTGTTTAAAACAAGGTTATTTATAAAAAAAAACTAGTTGACAACAACAGGGCAGTGAATTGGTTCCAAACAAAGCCAGATTCCATTCCCTCCTCCTATTCCTCCAGTTTGTGTTGTACCTGGTAGGACAAAATCCACTTTATATGCAGCTGTGGCCTTCAATTATTTACAGTCCCTGGGCGTCACGTCAAAATTCATAGCACAGCCCTATGAGATGTTGTTCACTGTGAAGTTTTAAAAATTCAGCAAGCCTTACTTTCAGGTAAGTAAATGCCGAACTGTAGCTTGAGTCCATAAAATCCATTTTCACTTGAAGATATTACTAAATGTTTGTGCTTTTCCATCTGCTCCTAAGAAAGGCAGAGTGAAGAAGTGATGGATCTGCATGCAGGCACACACTTTTTTTTTTTTGGTCGGTGTGTGGTTTTTTTCCCCACTCTGGTGAGTTTGTGAACCTCACAGCGAAAAATCAAGGTGGATTATTTGCAGGCACATCAGAAGCGACACCCGTTATGCAGAAGTCTGTGCTCCATGCAAGAATCCATGTGCAGCAAACAGTATGCAGGAATAATTCAGCAAGCCTTCCTTTCCACAAATGCTCTCAAGCTTGTAGACAAAAACAAACAAAATGTATGTGCATGTTTCTGGATTTATTCCATCCCTTAATGTCTCTCTCCCTCTCTGCAGCACCTGCTCAATATAACATTGCTTGCACAACAGGTGGCTTCAAGTCCTGCCATAATATACTCTCATTTTCTTCAAGATTTAAAACAATTTTATGACTCAAGCATCTGGCCCAGAAGGTATCACTGGCCTGAAATGGAGGGTCAAGTTTTTAGGGCTTGCTGCCAAATGACTGGTGTCGTTTCATTCATTAATCTCTTGCCCTTTTTATTTTTGGCAGCACTGGCAGTGGAGAAGCCTCCTTCCCACTTACGCAGGAATGTTTCCTCCTCGGCAAAGAAGACAGCAGTCCCTAGGCAGCCTCTGATACTTCTGAGAAATTAGAAGTCACAACGATTCAAAGCAAAGCAGGGAATTGTCCCAAAGGGACTGATGTAGACAGAACCACCCACATCTTGTTTACCAGTCCAAGTGTAATTTATACAGTACAAATGTTGCACTGCATTTTCAGAAAGGGAGCTTTTTGCCCAGTATTGTGCTCCAGAGGTTGGCAATAGCATCTCACTAGCAAACTGGAGTGTGCTCTGAAGATTTAGGTCCTGGAGACAAATGCCATTCCTGAAGAGATCCGTTTAATACTCATCATAGTGATTCAGATCTGTAAAATAAGCATTGGAATATGCTTTTGCAGAAAGATGTGGATTAAAATACTTGTTTTGTTCTTCCAGGATCAGATTATTTTTGTTAAATGCCTAGGAGAAGAAAAAGAAAAAAAAAATCTGTTAAGTGCATAATCCTCATTGAATTAATGAAATCCAAACAAAACCTTCTTCCCTACCCACTCAGTTTCTTCCTGGTAGAGCCAATTGATCAAAGAATTATTATTTTTAATTCACAAAAGAAGAAAAGCAACATCACACAGAAATGAAAGAAAACAAGAAAAGAGAAAAGTAAGGGGAGCCAATGAAGTAGGAAGTCAAAATCAAAGGAACACAGAAGGGCTGGGGAACAAATGACAGACCTAATCATCAAAATATTTGGGGGAATTTATTGAGAAAACAATGAGCAGTCAGGCACAGAGGCTAAAGAAACTCTTCAGTGTTCCAGGTAGGCATAGCCGTTTTTCCTGCTCTACTTGGATATACCAGGGACTGAACTCACAACCTTCTCTTTCCACTCTTTACCACAGATTGGCACTTTCGAGTGGCACTTTTGAGATGGCCATGCCACCTTTTCACAGAAGAATGTACAGTGGTGCTTCGACTTATGAATGTCCCTACTTACAACCATTTTGAGTTATGACCAGCTCCGGCCACAAAATTTGGCTTCTACTTGAGACCAGAGATTTCGCTTACGAACAGAAAAAGGCGGGAAATTCAAATTTCTAACTGTAGGTGGTGACGAGGCTGCTTCTTTGTACAGTGGTACCTCGCTAGACGATGACCCCACTAAATGACAAATCCGCACAACGATGACTTTTTGCGATCGCTATAGCGATTCGCAAAACAGTCATTCCAATGGGCGATTTTCGCTTGATGACGATTTGGTCTCTGCTTTGCAAACCATTTGTTCGCAGGACAGTCATTTTTACAGCTGATCGGCGCTTCGCAAAATGGCTGCGCTATGGGCGATCTTTGCAAAATGACGAGTTATTTTCCCCATTGGAACACATTAAATGGGTTTCAATGCATCCCAATGGGGAAATGATTTTCGCATGACAATGATTTCGCTAAACAGCGATTTCTATGGGACAGATTATCATCATCATGCAGGGCACCACTTGTAGATCTTTTGCCCCTGCAGAGTGTGCCTTGGAGGAGGTTTGGGACTGCCTCCTAATGCTTCTGAGTGTGTGTTTGCAGGGAAGCTTCGGAATGCCTTGTAAGGCTTTTTCCTTTGTTTTCTTTGCATTTCTGACCTGCTCCCTTTATTCTCTGTGCATTTCCAATCTGCTCTGTTTGTTTTCTGTGCATTTCCAGTGGGTCCTGCACACTTGATTGCTTCCCCCCCCCTTCGGCTAGAAGGGATTAATCGTGTTTCCAGTGAAACTTGCAGTGATTTTTTATGTGTGTGTGATTTTTTTTCTTCAGCCGGAATGGATTAATTGCATTTCAATGCATTCCTATGGGAAATGGTGCTTCAACTTACGACCATTTTGAGTTACGTCCATCTTCTGGAACCGATTATGGTCATAATTCGAGGCACCACTGTAGAGTGGTAGCAGTAAATTAATATGGAGGCACTGTAAACCAGGAACATTACAGCAACAAAGCCTGGCAATATCTAGTTAAATATAATAAATTCCTTTTGTTGTTGTTGCAATAACAAAGTTGCATTATGATTGTACCTAAACGAGGAATAATATCAGTCCCTTTGGGGGAAATACTGTAACTGTAATTGTTTAACAAAGCCAACAAAGAGTCTTCTGGTACTTTAACACATTTTAAGCTTTAAAGGACAGCACCTAAGCTCAGCAGATGCCTCTGAAGAAGGGGAAGAAGTTTCTGGCACATAAAGCTTGCTTGCCTAACTTGCCGCAAGACCCTCCATTGATTTTATTGTAACTGACAACAAAGTAACACAGCTATACACTTGTCATTGTTTTCACAGTTATGGGGAAATGGAGGAGGAGGAAGAGGAGCATCATATAGTTCAAGTGCTGCCTCTCATGTTGTGCCCTGAGCTGCTGCCACATCCTTTGCGTGGGTGTGGCAGCAATGACAAGATGGCCAAGAGGAGAGTGCGTTTTGTACAAAAGGTCTCGTGGCCTTGAAGGCTAGCAAGTTACATTTGGTTTTATCTGCCATTAAGTGACTTCTAGTTTCCAGGCGCTCTTTCAAAGGTACCCATGTTAAATATTCTAGTTACACTGAAATGCCTAGAAGCGGGAGGGGATATTGCCTCATCTGCAGCCTTTCAAAATAGTCCCTTTGTGCAGAGCGCTGTAATTTCCAAGAGGACTCCTGTATCTGCAACGCAGGAAACATGGCATCTGTTCCTCCCTTACCTTGATGGCTTCTACAGAATCGTACTTGTCCAGCTTGTTGATATGATTGGTAATATTGGTATTAAGAGGAGCAGGAGACACTGGGTGGATGACGGTGGCATCGTGCGACTGCTGCTGATACCGCTGGCAGTACGTGTAAACCAGCAGAGTCAAAAGGCACCCAAGAATAGAGCTGCTCAGCCCCACAGCAGTCATGTGGAACGTGTTGAACTCTGTAGAGCAAATGAAGCAAACCGGTGTTACTAGACTTCTTTTACCTCCGACTAATTTTTCATATTCCATGTTTATGCATAGCTTACACTCTGCTATTTGGGCAAAGGAGAAGACAACACACAGGACAAACAACACTTGATCTTCCCTCTAAAAGGCAACAGGATGATTGAACCGGGGGCGGGGGAGGATGGAAGACAGAAATTCTCAGAGATGGGACCTCTGTGTCCAACATAAATATTCAGTGCTACATTCAATGTTAGTCCCAAACAGAACAGTTCATTAGTTAGTTAGTTGCTGTGGAGTTGGAACCAATGCACAGAGACCCTAAGAGGGCTTTTAAGGTAAGTGAAATATTTAGGGAGTGGTTTTACCAATTCCACTCCCCCACTGAGTTTCCATGGCTCAGCAGGGATTTGAACCCTGGTCTCCAGAGTCCTAGTCCGTCACTCTGTCCACTACGCCACACTGGGTACCCCAACTACACGAGACCCACTGAAATCAACGGGACTTACATAAATGGTAACTAACAGATCTCATTCATTTCAATGCATAAACTTTACTTGGGGTGGGGTTTAACATCAGATTTAATCCTGAATGTAATGTTGAGTACAGAGTACCTCTTTTTGAGAATCTTGCGCTACTTCCTCCTACTCCACATATTTTCTCCTGCTTTTGTTTTGTTGTTGTCATTTTTAAAGAAAAGAGCTAGTTTCTAAGTCTTTATAAGCTGTGAAAGGCACTGGCCTCTATCCAGGGATCTCACAAGCAGAAGGCCACTCACAGGATGTTCCTGTTGGACTTCAAGGAAAGCCTACTTTCATCCATTCCTGATTTCCCTTGTTACCCTCTCTGTGCATCTGTTCAGGAGGGCTTGGGCTCCATTTGGAATAGATTTGGAGATGCTCCTGGCCGAGTGCCCTACAGGAAGAAGACACCTACGTATGATGGCAGTAAGAAGCTATCTACATACCAGAAGGTGGGCCCTCCCCTTTCAGTTTCATCTCCCCTCCAGGGTCTAGAAGCAAGGATCCCCCTCCTCCACCAAAAACACACACAACAAAACCCTACACACACCACATTCCTAGGTCATTATGCCTCTCAGTGATCAAAAAGGTGTCCATGTCAGTCTTGAGTTTTTCATCGACAGATTTATGAGTCTCAACTGAGACTAACAAAAGCTCTTCAAGGAGAGTCTGAGAGGAGGCGTGTAATTGCTAGCTTGAGTGTTCTTGAAAGTGTGTTTACAGGATATCTGAATCAGTCACTGAATATTGTCTATTTAGCGAAATGAGCTTTCCAACCTATTTTAGGAAGCTGTTTATTTTTAACTTACTCGCAGAGCCTCATACCACTATTTTCCAGATTACAGGTTGAAATCATGAAGTCAGAAAACAACTTTCTCTTCTCTATAAAGATTCACTATACAGTGGTGCCTCGCTTAACGGGCGCCCTGTTTAATGTCGAAATCGTATAGCGAGGAAGATTTTGCAATCACTTTTGCGATCGCTTTGTGATGGTCTGAATGGGTTTTTTTCACTTTGCAATAATTGGTTCCCTGTTTCGCTTACCGGTCATTGCAAAACGAATATTTTTTAACAGCTGATCGGCGGTTCCAAAACGGCCGCTGGGTAAAAAAAATGGCCACCCGCTGTGTTTAGGGACAGATTCCTCACTTACCGGGCAGCGAAAATGGCCGCCGTATGGAGGATCTTCGCTTAAAGGTCAGTTTTAAGCCCATAGGAATACATTGAAGGGGTTTCAGTGCATTCCTATGGGCTTTTTAAAATCGCATAGCGACGAAATCGCTTAGCAGCAATTTTTGCTGCACTGATTAACGTCGCTATGCGAGGCACCACTGTACTTCAAAAAGAACTCACTCACCTCTAAGTAGGAGTTTATTTTATTTAGAGGGAAGGGCACAAAGTCAAATAGATATTGTATAGTACACATATCCTATGTTAAAATTAAAACTGTGTATACAATTCATCCAAATTCAGAGCCAAGAATTATTTGACCCACATCAATTATGCTCCTGCCTCCACCCCCAGCTATCAGTGTAGCTTCAGTAATGAGCAGGCTTGAAAACCTGTATTGGTTACAGTATATACATAACAAGGACTAGAAGCTTGCACTTTCAAACCTTTAAATGAAAAGGGACCTTGTTAGGAAGCACGGCATCACTTTCAGTGTTTCTAATCCCTTGTGGTTACACCATCTGCACCTTGAATTTTTATGCCACCTCTTCTTTTGCTGCTGTTTCCAATTTTGCTATCTGTGTCTCATCTGATCTTGCTACGTATACAATGCCTGCCTTGTAGAAACCAACACTGCTCTTCTGATTAAAGCATTGTGTTCCCTGTCTGCATTCTAAATAGCTGGGTTGGATTCTAGTAATTATAATAAAGACTATCTTACACCCATCTCCCAGAATTTAGCACCAACAGACATTTCCAATACGTGCACTCCACTGCAATCTATTGTCTCCTCACCTACCATAGGCATTTGTTTTATCCTATTTTTTACGGAAAGATGTCACAGGAGTCCTATATATACTTTGCAGAATACTCTGCCGGATCAGAGAGCCTTCAGGCTGTGGCCTTTTCCAGCTGTTGGAACTCCAGCGTAATGAGGTCCACGTGGAATTGTGGTGGTAGTACCAAACTACAGTTAATAAAGTACCTTGTCACCATCATGGTCTTGCAAGGCTCTGCCCATATGGCAAAAGTAAGCATGAGCAGGTATTTCTCAAGAGGGAAGGGCCATCTTAGGAGCAAGATTCTATGTAAGCGTAATCAAAAGGAAGTCCTATTTTGGTCATTGAAAGGGTTCATATCTTTAAATTGGGCATCTAAGTTTCAAATTGTGTTTTACATAGATATCTCCTGTTCTGCTCTCCATTTTTTCAGACTCAGGAGAAACAGATGTGAGTTTGAGCAGAAGAATGGTGAATACAGAGAGGCTGCAGTATTTTCTCTCTCTCTCTCCCCACCTCACAGATATCTTCCCCAGCCTGCTGTTCATTCATGAAAGAAAGATATTAAGTCCTTATCCTTTCCTATCCCCCACCACCTCCCCTGAAAAAACAAAAAACAGGTTGGGAATGATTTTTAATTATAAACCAACCAGAGTTTCTCCCTACCAGGTCTTCACCCATTCAAACATGATGCTTTTGAATGAAAAATCAACAACCATGGAGGAAAGAAACACGGAACTCCGCAGCATCATGCAATTTAAAGTATCAGCTGAATAAAACTGGAGAAAGAAGCAGCATTACAAACATGGGGAAGGGTGAGATGCAGAAGACAGAGAATCAGTGCCGAAGGAAAGAAAATGGAGGACCCTTACCGCCACATCGTTTTTCTTTCATGCTGCTCGTTCTTGCTATTGTTATATCTGCAACAGCAAATAATTCCATTATACTCGTAAAGAATGGCAATCCTAAGCATTGTTCAGAATTTCATCTAAAACAGAGAATTCTGCAAGAAAAATTTTCTCTGACCAGTCTGGTACGAGAAGTTTTTAGACCTGCATGATTAGTGGTCGTATATGATGCTAATTTGCAGGAACAGCAAACAATGCTGTATTCTCCAATGACCTCAGGTGAAAGAAAGCATTCCAGTCCAGACTGCATTATATACATTGCATTATCAAGAATGTAACAGCCAGCATGGGGATGGGGGAGAAAAGATGGAAAGCTACAAGCTAGCTTGCATGCATCCTTGGAGTGGGGGAAGGTAGACCCTGGCCTGCCATGTCTTTGCCTCCTCCCCCAGTTCCATCCTCTTAAGCAGCCAGAGATTTAAAAAAGCTTTTCGGGTCAGAGCCTGGCTTTAACAGATGAAATGTACATGTCCCTTTACAATATAACATCCCACTCTTTCTATCACAAGTTCAGAGCAACTTAAGTTCTCCATTCAAAAGATGGATCAATGTTCTTACCTGGTATAAAATTGGAATCAGAAACGCACAATTGACTTTCTGTGGTATTTCCAGTGCACTGGTGGCCCACTGGAAATAGAACATTACACTGACGGGTGCGGAACTGAACTCCAGATGAATCGCAGGCGGACCACTCTGACCAATCAGACCAGCTGTCTGCGATGGCCCAAAACGTAAAGAGATGTACGGAAGGGTCAGCATACAGTGAACCAAGGGGATATTTACAAGCATTGTGGGCTAGAAGCTAGATCTTCATGCCATCCATTTTTAAAACATTATCTAATTCTGCAATTAGAACTAGCAAACAACTCAGCATCAGGGTAATTATTATTATTTTTAAAACATTATCTAATTCTGCAATTAGAACTACAAACAACTCAGCATCAAGGTAATTTTTGTGTGTGGCTGCTCTTTATTGAATGAAACACATCATTTCCAGCACATTGTTGTTGTTATATGCTGTCCAGTCACTTCCAACTTACGCCAACTCTATAAGGATTTTCTAGGTTATATGACTGATGTCACAGTCAGACTGCCCTCAAGTCCACTTTGAGATATAGGAGTTGTTCAGGGAGTGGTTTACCACTGCCGCTATGACCCCAGTGAGTTTCCTTACTCAAACATGGATTTGCACCCATGTCACCTGAGCCCTAGTCCAAGTCTCTGTCCAGTATACCACAACAACCCACACCAAGGACATGTCCCATGTGAAAGCAAATGATATTTTAAGACACAGCTTCATGCTGAAGTCAAGGCTGATAGCAAAATTCACCTCCTCCTTTGCCCCCCCCCATCATTGGCTCCTTACGACTCTCCAGAGGACACAGCCCCAGTGGCATAAAAAGGACACCAAGTGGAAAACAAATCTGTGGAGCACCCTGGATTTCCAGTACCTGGGCACTGTTGTGTATTGCAGAGGGCTTCCTCCGTGTGGAGCCCTAGACAGATATCGCCTCCGTAGGCTGGAGTTGGGTTTGTGCACGAACGGGTCCTCATGTAATGTCCACTCCCACACGTAGTGGAGCACTTAGACCATGATGACCAGCAAGACCAACCTCCGTCAACTGGGGAATGACAAAGCACAACACTGTTTCTTGTCTCCCTAAATGCAGGTGGAAACAGATTCCTTCAGACTAGAGTAAGCATCATGAGATTTAAGTCACATTCTAGTTCATAATTCCAGTAACTGTACATTCTTAAACATCATCTCTAGAAAGATATTCTTGACGTAAAAGCTATCTGAACTGGCAGAAAAACATCAATTGGTCTGAATAAAATCCACGAGCCTTATCTTGTCTTCTCTGCCCCCAAAATATGTTAGGCAAATTATGTTTCTTTGTACAATCTTCCGCCAGAAAAGACAAAAGGGACTGGTCCTGTGTTCTCCACAATCCACTTAAAGTAAGAAAAGCCTCATCATTCTCTAGAAAAGATATGTTGAGAATTGAATTTCTTGTTACTATTTTTACTAATAAACATCAAAACAGTCACTGGTTTTAATGATGTATGGTTTGGAAATGGTCCCAATATTTTCAAGCTCTATCAGCTTCTACAGCCTCTTACCAGGGCATGGAAGAATGTTGCATTCTTGGTATTCAAGGGATGGTCCCAGGCACGGTAGCCCTCCATACTTTGGCTCAGGGTTGTTGCAAATACGCTTGCGGTTGCGAATGCCTCTGCTGCAGTCACGGCTGCACTGAGACCATGGAGACCACGGGGACCAGGCACCATTGATGGTATGAGTAGCATACCGCCCAGAATGCACAAAATCACCTGAGGGAAATGGACAGCAACAGAATACAATAACCAAACAAGCAAATAAATAAAGGGGCAGATCCTCAGGGGGAAAAATATGCCTACTTGAATATATTCCAACATTGTTTATAATACTGCTGTGATTTACTGTATTCTGATCCAGCAGTGTTATCTCTGGAACGTTTACATGAATGTGTGTAATCAAAGGATTAGAATTTGGTGTTAAACTTGAAGTGCCAATACTAATTGTAGCACATTATTAAAAATTACAGAATGATGAAAATAGCATCAGCCAAGGCATTGGCTCCAAATTTTTTATTGTGTCATACTCCTTTTCTGATTTTTGAGAAAGCCTCATGCCTCCTCCCTTCTCCTTTACTACTAAACAACTCCTTTTTTAAAAAAAAATCAATTTAGAATTTAAAATTAAGAATAAACACAAGAACTTTGTAAAAAAAGAGATTCAAATTAAAAAACAAGCACTTTTAGCTTTCTTGTCTGATCATACACATAGAACTTTAAGAAAAATCAGAAACAAAACTAACATAATGCAAAGGATGATGAAAATCTCACAGCCTTTTGTCCCTCTTCCATTTCTTCACAACACACACACCAGTTTGGCAATCAATGTACTAAGTTATGATGACTTGACCACTTCTGATTTAGATGCAACTCTCCAAAGAATTTAATCTGACCTCCAGAGGCCTTACAAAGTTGATGTTTAAAGTCAAAGTAAGCATTAAAAGAAATGGACATTCCCTACAAAAAGGAATTTTCAATAATTCTTCAATCAGACTTTCAAATTTACCCCACACTTACCATCTAATCATTAACCAGATCACAGGAATCAAACAATGCACCCTGGATGTAAGAAAATAATGATGCACTATGACAAACATTACCTTTTCACCACTTGGAAGGAGGACCTGATATAAAATCATACTAAACATGACCTCTACTTTGACCTTCAATTATTCCACACTTTAGGGTTACATCTCTTTTCTAGGTTCCCTGTATTACCTATAAATCTATATACATAATTTATTCCCAAGCACACTTCTGTGGTGAAACCCTTACTGCTAGATGGCTCCAACTTAATTATGGCATTCAACTCTTTAGCCCTGGGGAGAAGCAAGCTGTCTCTACGATGACAGCAGCTGGGCAGTCATCAATATGAGGTACTGCAAATATAATAAAAGGAACAGACCTCATAATGAGACAAGAAAGAAGAAATCAAATTAAAGTAGGTATTGAAAAATATCTTTAGAACATGCTGAAGTGATGGATAAAATGTAGCACTACTCACAATGTTAATTATTTTGGAAGAGATAACCTTGATATTTCCAAAGCCCTGCCAGAAATGAAGAATTTTATCGGATCTACAAGTAGTTCTTTTCTATTTGTAACCACCTTGTGTGTTTTCCCACTGCTTCTTCTATCTTTCCTATTACCACAGAAACATCCACTATGGCAGGAAAGATAGAACAGCTACTCTCTGCCTTTTGGATGGTAGCACCAGAAGCAGACTGTGTGGAAGCACCTCTTGTCTAACTGCCTTTCCTTTTCTTTCTTCCTCTGAACACGGACTGGAATGTGGTTCGTGGGGATTTGGGACTAGGAAAAAGCCAAAACAGAATAGAACATGCCAGAACAGGCACTCGGTAATAAAAACTGATGTTTAAATAGCTAGATGTGAGAGGCACACAAAAGGACACTACTTTAGCAATCAACTCCATCAAATATTATTTTTCATTAAGTCCCCAAAACAGCCTAAAGAACAGAATGGCCTGGAACAACAACTTCCAAGCAGATGGACCAACCAAATTCAGTGTAGATGTATGTCCACATCCGTAATCGCACAAGTGATTTGCACCCTTTGGTGGAACACCAGTTGTGTGATGGACATCCCGCTGGAGGTGCAACTTATTTAAGTGGTTCCTATTACACACGTTCTTTTCCAATAGGATTCTGGCTCAACAACATTGCTTTCATAGAATCATAGAATGATTGAGTTGGAAGAGACCTAGAAAGCCATGGAACTAGACATGGGGACGAATATAAAAACCGATCTAGGTCCCTTCCTTGATTCATCAGATATTCATTGCTTCATAGTCTTGAGGTCCAGATACCCCAATGAATATGAAGCAACAAATATAACTCTTTTATATTTCTCCCTTCATTCCCTATCTGCTTATGCCCTTATAGAACAGCTATTCCTTGGGGCATAAGCAGAGAGGGATTGTCCTTTCGGGTGGCTTGTTAAAGCCTGTCCAAAGGGAATCCCCCCCCCCCGGGGCTTGGGGATGGCTTGGTTCCTCTTTCCTCCTCTTTCTATGCCCACATGGCATAAGAGGAGGAGGGAAGAGATCAAAGAGGGATCAAAGGGATTCCCCAGCTGCTGCATGATTGCTTTGATCCCTGCTTTCCCTCTTCTTGCTATGACCGGTGGGGCTTAGCAAGAGGAGGGGAAAAGGGATCAAACCAATCCTGCAGCCCCAGTTGCATGATCGCTTTCATCCCTGCTTTCCCACCTCTTGCTATGCCGTGCAGGGCATAGCAAGAGGAGGGAAAGGGGGAAAATGACCAGGACAAAAGCATAGCAAGAGGAGGGAAAGGGGGGGAAAATGACCAGGACAAAAGATGAATTGATTCATTGTTCATCAGGTCACTGGGGGGTGTCAATTCGTGATTTTGGTGCTTCGTCCCCATCTCTACATGGAACTTTGGGTATGTAGCTCCATATTCATTTTCACCCAATATTAGAAGACAGAGCTTTTGAAAACTTTCACAGTCCCTGCATAGTTTAGAAAATAAATAAATAAAAGCTTCGCCATACTTCTGAGTTTTTTTTATTTTTCCTGGCCAAATAGAAATTCTTTGAGTTTCAAAAATAAAGTGGAAGGGGGAAATGAGGGGGGTCAGAATGTTTGGTGGCCCTTTGTTTAAGGAGCTGGGTGATAAATTCCAAGCTACTGGCTAAGGAGGAGTTTGAAACCACACACACACTCCAGGCCTCCTTCAGATAGCAACTATCTAAGAAGCCCGGCCCCCAGCAACAGCCATGAGACATATAGTTTTGGAATTGTCCACAAAAACCTGGTGCACAACCTGATGAAGATGGATTATCACTGAAAGCTTGCTGTTTGTTTTTAGCTTTGTTTTATTTTTATTTTATTTTTTTGTTGTCCAACAAAGGTATCACCCGTTCCTGCAGTCGCTGCAGAGTCAGGCAACAAATCAAAGAAAATGTGGAGGGGGAAAAGTGAGTTGTTAGTGTATACACAAATTCCTCTTCACACATACTGGATGTAATCCAGTAAAAAGTAGGCACTTTTTAAAGAATTCATTTTGTGTTCTCACTGAAATGCATAGTATTTCAAGTTTTTAATAATTTAGTTTAGGGATGTGTTGACAATTATTTTTAAATTTATACTTTAAAAATATTAAGAAGTGGAAGTATTTGAAGGCATGTCCTGTTTTGATTAGGTATCCTTTATTATGAATCTCTGTACTTGTTTTCCATTTGTGTTTTTTGTTTTTATGTTGTATTCATTAGACATTATCCTTTTAAAAATGAAATATATTTTATTAGCAGAGATGTTGCTGTTGTTATACAAATACTGCAATTACATTGGAAGTCATCACAGACCCAGTCTTTAAAAGGTGATGAAACAACCTGGGAAATATTACACTGCAACCATCACCCTGGTAGTGCATCATGAAAGAATGAAATATGTTAACTCTAGAAAAAAAAGGCTATTACAGAAACAACCTCTATAAGACTCTCTGGACACATTTTTTGCTTTTATAAAAACATGCTGAAAAACACTGCCATCGATTTAGAATCCTTAAACACCTTAAAGCGTGCTGCTTATATACCGCCCCATAGCACTTCAAGCACTCTCTGGGCGGTTTACAAGTAAATTATGCAGGCTACACAAAGCCCAGTCCTGTGAAAACTGGCTTTGAAATACCCATTCCTTTGTTGGTTGAACATTGGTGTAAGTCTGCACAGGACTGCAGCCTCTTTCATCTTGTCAGAAGAGTCTGACTGAATCGGGCATCTTACAGCATCCCTTAATCATATAATTCCTTCTAACTGTAAATCCAGCGGGCAAATGCCAGTAAGGTGTTAGGTGCGAAGAAAACAAGAGAGAGAGATTTGCTCACTTGGAAGTACAAAGTACACAGAGCTCTTGACAAACCTTGCCCCGAGAAACAGATGCATGAGGCCTGAACATGTCCAGTGGCCATAGCTGGCTGAGCACTAACTGGAATAAGTCAAAATCTGGAGAAGAATGGAATGGAAGGACAGGGATGGTGCAATGCTGCATGGCTGGCCAGCCTGAACTTTCAGAAGAAGCCTTCTGCGTGAGAATAGCAGTAGTTTAGTATATACATGCCCCTTCTGCATGAAAAATGCTCAGCAACATTATACAGGATGTTATGATGTTCAAAAACTTTATAAACACGAGTTTAGCAATCCTTATAACCATCCTGCAAGGTGACTTGGCAGTACTATCATGTTAGAAATGCAGAAGAAAGAAAGAGCCGTCTGTGAGTTACTCACAGAGAAGAGATTTAAATCTGGGATTCGTTGCCTTAACCAACCACCAGCCACTAGATTGCTGCTTAGTTTCATCCTCTGTTCTGTTTTCATTTGTGGAACCTCACAAAAACGGCCATTACCAGACCATTTTAAATTAAAGGAAAATAAAGTTAATAGAGACAATGTTAAAAGCCTTCTAGTTGAGATACTGCCAGAAGGGGGGGCGGTTAGTATTGTTGTCTCCTGGCCCAGAGTCAAAAGTCAGTGATGAAGAGAATTAATGGACAAGTTGTAGCAACAAATCAGCCCAGCCGGGGCCTTAGGAAACCGTTTGTAATGGGTGTAATGGTGCCACAGTAAAAGCTCCATCTCTGAAAAAAGTTAAGAAATGGGTAGGTAGTACTTTATTGTGAAAGTTCCTGCCACAAGAGGTGATGTGGGAAGAGATGGTCGCTCTGGCATTTCAAAG